GTCATACCGTCGGGGATGTTTTGGGGGAGATCTATACTTCCATCCGTTAACCACCATCCTACTGTTTTTTGCCAGTTGATTCGCATTTCGGAAGCTAGTTGATATGCGTGCATTGCTCTGGTGAGGGCCTCAAAGGATAGCTGGATGCTCTTATGAGTATAGTCAAGTCGTCTGCAAACATGATCGTGGGAGGTATGTGGTGTGTTCTGTTGAGGTCTCCTGTCGGGTTTATGAGTCTTTGTATGGACGGGTCTTTCCTAAGGAAGGATGCTACTGCCTCCATGATAAACAGGAATATAGGGGCTGCTAATGGGTCTCCTTGCCTTACAGATCTAGGCATCTTGTAGAGATCGGATATGTGACCATTTACTTGAACTGCTCCATCTGCATCATTGTATAGAATCCTAACCCAGTTTCTAAAGTTCGGGCCTACTCCCATCCTTTCCATGCATTGTTGGAGGAAATCCCAATTGACCTGGTTATAAGCTTTCTCAAAGTCGAAAAAGAGGATTGTTGCATTTAGTTTCTTATCCTCAATATAGGTTACAAATTCGACTAGTGTCATTACGTTGTCTAGTATAAATTTGCCCGGGACGAAGCCCGTTTGGTCTATGTGGAAGCAGTTTTTGGTGATCTTACTTATTCTGTTTGCTAGAAGTTTGGCTAGGATTTTGTATGCTACTGTTAGTAAGGTGATAGGTCGATAGTTTTTAATATCAGTGGGGGTCCCCTTTTTGTATAGTAGGGTGACTATTCCCGTACTGAGATACTTTCCTAAATCGTCTGAAGCCCACGTTGATCTTGTCCCCTAAGAGTTCCCAGTATCTTTGGCAAAATTCTTTTGACAGGCTGTCTTATCCCGGAGTCTTCCCAGATTTAATTGAGTCCAAGGCTCTTTTAATTTCGTCATTCGTAATGGGTGCATCCAGTTCTTCTGCTAGTGTTGTGGGGATTGTTTTGGCCAAGTGTTTACAAAAAAATTCTCTTGCTTGTGTCACTTGTCCCGGAGTGGGATGTTCTGTTTTAGAGGTGTATAGGTTTTTATTAAAGGATTCTGCTATTGCTAGCATTTTCCTTGGATATGAAGTGAGTCCTTCCTCTCCTCTCAGTTGGTGGATGGCAGAGTCTCTTCCTCTTGCTTTGATTTTTTGGTAAAAAAACTTCGTCATTTTTTCACCTTCCTCCCACTCTCTGATCCTTGCTCTTAGTCTCATTCCCCTTGCTTCCTATGAGTTCCAAGCGCCCAATTCTGCTCTTGCTTTAGCTAGTGAGTCTTCATATGAAATCTGGCCTGGGTTATTGATGAGGAACTTTTCTACTACCTGGACTGCTGCTTCTAACTCTTGTATGCGTTGGTTTCTTTTGGCTGCAAGTTTTCTTGATGCTATGGAGGCTGCTTTGGATAAGTTGGCTATTGTGCTCGGGAAGTCAGCTCCTTCCATTTTCGAGTCTATGCATGCTATGGCTATTGCTTCTTTCATTTGTGGAGTGTCTAAAATGGAGTTATTAATCTTGAAGAAGCTAGGATTTGTTTGCGCTCCTGGGTCGAAGAGTAGCTTAATGAAGATTGGATTGTGATCTAGCCCATTATTGTAAGGGAGTTTGCCTATTGCTACGCTATGAATTGCTCCTCCAAGGGTTTCGGATACTAGAAAATAATCTATTGCTGAGTTTGTTATGTGTTGCGATCTATTTCTTTTTCTATAGGTGAATCTTTTGATTTTTGGGTAGATTGTTCTGAGTGGTTCTATTAGGGGTCTTTCCATCATGAGTGTGGTCATTTCCTGAGCTTCTGTTAACTGTAATTCTTCTCTGTCTGTGTGTGATGAGGAAATCTGGTCAATAGACAACTCTAACATTGTGTTCCAATCTCCTGCTAGTAGCAGGTGCTTTTGTGTGTCACACCTTGCTGAGATCCGTTGTATAAAATCTCTTCTCTGAGATGAGTCATTGGGTGCGTAAGCATTTATTAGCTGAAAAACTTCTTCCTTATACGTAAGCATTTATTAGTTGAAAGACTTCTTCCTTATACGTGAAGATAATATCTACCCATCTTCCATTTTCTGCATCTATTTGACTTCGAATGATGTTGATTTGATTGGTTGCTCTTGAGTTTTCGTTCCAGAGGACGGCTGCACCTGCTGAGCCGATCCGGTGACCACTGGCTCATTCATGCTTATGCTTTGAGGAGTAATCACATGCATAAAGATGCATGTTTGAAGCAAGGAGGAGGTGATAGCGGAAGTGTGGTCGAACCGAGAGTTTTTCGGCCAGGAACCAGATCATTTGTTGGTCTGCATGGTAGCAGTGGTATTTACTTGCAGAAGTTAATCATAACAAGTTCGATAGTCATGATAGGAAGATCAGTCTTAGGCTTTTCTTCAATTAATAATATTGGAGCAACAATATAAAAGTCCTTCAGTCATACAGATTGAGAAGAAATACTTTGGCAAACCAACTCATCTAATCAATGACCTAATCGCTGATAATTTTGATATAAGATATACAAACTTTTGTTGTTTTGTTTTCAAAGAGATCGTAAAGGGACTAGGAATAATGTAGGGTTTCACGCTTGGTTGAGGCCGCCCCAGTCGACCAAAGCACGTTTCGAGCTTAGGAGATCAACGTCCTGAGGGACGAACGACGTTTGGGTGCACTTGGCGTTAGCCAAGCGTTTCCTATACTGCAGCGAAACCAGCAAACGCCTACCGTGACGACTTTGAGACCTCTATAGTCTATGCACATTCTGAGTTCTACCTCCTTCTTGGGGACAAAAAGAACAGGTGCTCCAAATGGAGATGAATTGGGCCTAATCCAACCCTTCTCGAGGAGCTCGTCCAACTGCTTACGCAACTCCTCTAACTCCCTCGGGGACATCCTATATACAACACCCTTAGGAGTCCTACGGCCAGGCTCTATTTCTATACGATGTTGGATCGACCGCGACACTATTCCTGTAGGCGGCTTAACTAAGTCTGTATACTCCTCCAGCAGCTTGGCAATAACAGGGTCTATAGGTCTCTCTTCCTTAGGCTCAGTAATCGGTCTAACATAGGCTACAAAAACCTGCTCTTCTAACTGCTCCTTCTTTACTAAACGCGCGAACGTGGGAGCATTGAGACAACAATGTGCCAGAGAGTTGTCTACTCCTGACACATGAATCAAGCAGTCTTAAGTCCACCTGTGGGACGAGGTAGCCTACACTCGTGCTCTCTCAAATGGAGTGTGGCCCCAGCTGCCTCTCCCCGGTCCATTCCTAAGACTATATCGAAAGGAAGGTTGTCCTTTACAAGGAGAGTCAGGGAATGGAGAACTTTCTCCACATTCCCATCTTTCTTTAGGCGAAAGTACGATTGGACTCCCTCAACGTAATCCTCGACTCGCATAGTGCGATTGTCGGCGATGATACTGACTATAGGGTCTTCTAACTTTTTGACCTTAAGATTTTAACTTCAACTTCTGCAGCGCTTTCCTACTGATATAACTGCGAATGGCCCCACTATCTATAAGGGCCCCTACTCTATCTCTAAAAAATTCTACATCTACTAACACTAGCTGTCCTTTCTCATCTTTCTTCATTTTGGCCCAGGTAGGCATCCTCTCCTTCAACTCTTCTTCCACGTTTGTGAGGGAAGTACCTAGAGAGACTCTAACACAAGCAGTCCCTGGACAATTATCTAGGTATTGGCCAGCAACCTCTACCGTAGGCTCATGTGGTTTGGGAATTCCTATGTGATGCGCGCACTCTTCTCCACATGGCCTAGGGGTAAGGGCAGTTGCGACTCCTACCGGCGGTCGCCTTTTGCTTCTTGTGCAGCATAACAGGTTTCTTTATACTTTGGACAATATTTGATTATGTGGCTAGGGTCACCGCAGTAAATGCACTGATCCTCGTCCACACGTCGCTGCCACACTGACTGGTCCAAGCCCAAATCTTCCCATGGCCTGCCTTGTGGCAAGCCTGGGTGACATCCATCCCTTCTTGGGGTGACCGATAAGATCGCGGACGATTTGGCGAAGGACCTTGACCCCACTCAATCTGGCTATATGGGACCTCATCCATACCACCTTCGTCTAAAGTAAGGATTAGATGATGATCCTTGGCCCTAACCTGACTAGAGATGGTACGACCTTTCCACTTTTCCCCCTTGTCTTAAGTACTTACGCCAGAAAGTGGAAACTGGCGTGGACTGTGCCTCAAACAACACCACCTCTCTACTCAACGTATCAGAAGTCATGGTGGGCTGTTTACTCTTTTCGAAGAAGTGCCCACGCAGGGGCTCTAGCATGGCACGATAAAATAAGTTGACCAACTGGGTCTCAGTGACCCCGTGGACCGGGACGACTACTAGCTCGTCCATTACACCCTTGAGTGCTCTAGCGCTCCTCCATTAGCATGAGTGGATGGTTTGCAGTTTGTCTGAGGCCCTTACCCCTCGACTGACATCTGCAAATCATTCCTTCAACAATCTAAGGAATTCAGGGGGAGGAGTAATCTTGGAATAAGCTACCATATTGTTTTCGCAATGTGCAGCGCGAGCGAGGGATCTGGTGAAGCTGGCTGCTTCGTCTTTTAGAGCCTGAAAGCTACGATCTTCTGCAGGTAGACGTATGTGTTCACATTCACCTCCCAGTTATCAAAATTTTCTTCTTTCTTCCCATTATAGGGTTCAAGAAACTTGATCTTTATGGACTCTCTACGGGGGCGCACCTCTTTTTCCTTCGGAACGGCCAACTTTGCGCCCTCAATGGCGCTTGTGCAAAATTTCTTTGTGCCCTCTATCCTCGCTTGCATTTCTGCACCTACGTGCAGCAGCATCTCGCGTGCAAAGTCCTTGAAACCGAGGCGAATGCAGTGTAAGGCGATGTCCTGGGCTCTAGCAAACTGATGTTGCTCGTCCCAGGCTCTAGCTATGAGTTCTATATTTCGCGTAATAATACCAAATTTTCCCTATATGTATGCCTGTGCTTGGATCTGCTCTCTCTGCTCCCTTATCACTTTCAACTCCACCATTTTGTTAGCCTCAACTATCCTTCTCTTCTTCTCCCTTGTGAGACAACTTCCACTGTAACTTCTTCTCCTCCTCTATTGTCTGGCGTCGCAAAGGGTCCTCTTTCGCCTCCAGCTCCTTCACTACTGCTTCTTGCTCCTCCCGGGGAACATACATGCCTTTTTCTTCTTCTTCTTCCCCCAGGGACAAATTCACCACCCACTCAGAAACCTTTTTCTCCAACCATGACTCCTCCCTCTTCGTGCCACTGGATTTCCCTTTATCCCTAGTGCCTCTCCTGATCAGGGGCTCCTCCTCCTTTTCTTCTTCTATCTCTTCCTCTTCCACTGCTTTCATTTTCTCTTCCTCCTCCTGCTTCAATCTTTCCATCTCCTCCTCCAACTTCTTCCTCTTCGCTGCCTGCTCCTTCAATAGGGCCAACTTTTTGGCCTGTCTTATCAAGTCCTTCTTGGCCTCCTTCTCTTTTCTCTCTTTTAATACAACGGCGGCTTGCTCTTCCTGAGCCTTGGTGTAAGGGGTGGTACTCTTGCCACTAATAGGTCAACCATGGTGAAAGGTGCACAACCAAGAATCAGTTTCACTCCTCACCGGTTAGACTCTCACCCCTGACTGACTTAACTTAGGACTGACTCAACTAAGGACCACAAAATCTTGTAAGATCCTGCCAACTATGGTCTCTAGCCTGGACCTAAAACTAAGGCTGTCACTACAGGACTTACTGATGATCAAGAGGCATTTAAGGAGATTCCTCGTAACTCCTCATGAATTATTTAACGTCGCAACCAGGACGACGCGATCAGCAAGTCCTCTCAAGACTTAGACAGATCGTTGTGCAGCCCACAACTCGGATTTTGGGCCTATTGTGCCACACTGAGCAGCCCGCTGGTCTGTACCGGTCCTTGGGAGGGTTCGTGTCCCCCGGGTCAGTCAGTCGTCAGACACAGCCTTTAGCCCTGCTCAGTTCGTGTGGGTTTGGTCAACAAAGCTCTATGACCTCATACACAGAGTTCCTATCACCTGGACAGAAGAGACTCAATGCAGAAAGAAGAGACAAACATACTCAGCAAGTACCATCGGGTGAGTGCACATCCATAGGGTGAGGGGATAGGCTGAAGGCTTGGCGAGAATGTACCAACCCCAGCTTGGTCAATTTCGTGGTCAACAGCCTCGGTCAATGCTTGTCAACTCTCCGGTCAACTCCTCGGTCAAAGTCTTGGTCAACGTTAGTCAACCCCTCGGTCAACGCCTTGGTCAACCCTCGATTCGGCTATGGCTGCCAACCCCTTTCTTCCTCACCAACCTTCTTTATCCTCCTTCCTTCTTTCTCCTTTTTCCTCGCTTCACCTCGGTTATGGCTTCCTTCACTTTCGCCGTCCCTCATCCCTTCTCCCTAGCTATGACTTCTTCTCCTTTGTCTCTCCTCCCTTCTCCTTCGCCTCACCTTCCTCTTTCTTAGTAACCCTATGTCCGAGCTCCGCGGCTATGGTCGCCTTCTCCCTTGGACCGCACAACAATCTTGTATCCCTCCTCTCTCTCTCTCTCTCTCTCTCTCTCTCTCTCTCTCTCTCTCTCTCTCTCTCTCTCTCTCTCTCTCTCTCTCTCTCTCTTCGTCGTTGTCTNTCTCTCTCTCTCTCTCTCTCTCTCTCTCTCTCTCTCTCTCTCTCTCTCTCTCTCTCTCTCTCTCTCTTCGTCGTTGTCTTCTGTGCAGGTACGCGGCACCTCACTCCGCAGCGCAGCTATGGCGGACTTCACTTCTCCGATGGTCACCTCGACTATGGCGCCTAAGTGGCATGCGTCTTCTTCCCCGCTGGCAACGACGATGGCACGTGGGGTAACGGGAACCAGCTCCGATACCAATGCAATCAGACTCGCTTTCTTTTCCACTTTGCATACATGCAAATAGATGGCGATTCACACTGGCACAGCACGCCCACTCAAAGCTCAGAGATATGGAAAACGAGAACACAGTTCATATGCAAAATCACTTCAACAAACTATGGCGCTTCGGCGCCTGCACACCCAACTCTCGTCACTGTGTCCAACACCACCGTTCGCACATACTCAACTCTGGATCACCCGGCATACTCTACGCACTTCCCTCTCATACACACACACACACACACACACACACACACTAAAGCCTATTGTCCTCCTATAGCGGCTATGGCCGCTCTACTACTACAGACTATGACTACATTGTCTCTCTTCAGCCCACTTCGACTTCGGGCGATCTGCACACCACCTCGCACAAGCGCTGTAGCAGCGCTTTCGCATGGCTTACTCAGCGAATGAATGAATTGTTGGGCGCTGCTTCTTGATTTATACCGCTGGTCTGCCCCTTTCCACCAGGCCCTTGGTGTGCACAGTCCCACGTGGTACTTGCTTGCCCGGACTGAGGGTGACTGGGACTTGTACCACTGACTGCATGAGGTTGCACTGCCGACTCAACGCAGTTGGACCTTCGACTCACCTACAGACCTCTAGCCTAGCAGTTTCGACCTCTACACAGCTACGACCCCTACTCGACAGACCTACAGATCGAACCCCTACAACTACACAGACCTACGACAGACAAAGAACCAACTACCGAAACATAGGTCGCGGGTTCAAACTCTCGGGGGTCAACTCGATATCGTACATGGGTATGGTAAGGTCTGGGGATCGAACTCTAGGGCCCGCATTTGTGAAACTGTGACTGCAAAAAGGTGAAAACCGTTTCATAAATCAGGGTCTGACAACTAATTCCCATCCCTCTTCTGTCACTATAGCTCTCCTAACATCCGGTGGGCAACCGATAGTTCAAGGTCAGCCTACACAAACCTCAGGAATTATTTAACTACGCAAACAGGACATTGTGCCCACCGATATGAAGGATCACTCTGACAACTTAGACTGGTTCCTCACTGATTGCAGCGGTTTTCGGGTATGACTACCACCAGTGAATGGCCAGCTGGTCAGTACCGGTCCTTGGGGGATCTCCCTGGCGTCCTCAACTAGTGGACCGTATGTCTCACCCCTACTTTGCCCGTGCATTATACAGCTGGCGAAACCTATTGCTCTCTACAACTCCTCACTGTGTCACATACAGTCTTCGACCGCACGCCGTTCAGTACCGGTCATTGGGCATAGCCGGGTTGTTGTACAAGCGCCCGCCGCTCATTGCCCGTGCTCCCTATTAGGTTCGGGGATACATCAAGTTGCCGAGTTGCTACCCTAGACCGACCTACATCACACACAAAATTTTCACTCTCACGGGATTAGGGTATCACAATACGAAGCAGCGAATCAGGGAAACCACATAGCAAACAGCTTCTCCTGGCCCAAATCCTACACCAACACAGACAACCAAAAGCCGAGCAAAAGGCTCGAAGGGGGAAGAGGGAGAGAACAAGGGATACCAACAACAAGCACCCAGAGCAAAGGGACATAAGAAGAGAGAGAAGAAATGCACTTAGGTGCAAGAGAAGATCTCGATGGACAAAAAAGGTCCTGAAGGCACAAATCATGGTCCTCAAGGACCAAAACAGGGAAACAGCAGACGATGCAGTCAACTTGCAAAAGTTGGCCGCAGGCCAGAACGCGGAAACATTCACAACAGCCAAACTTGAAGCCAAAGGAGGGTGCAAGAAAAAAGCAATAATTCCCTACAGATGGAACACAGAACATGGGGATTGGGAAGTAGCAGTCAATAAATCATGGGCCCTCATCGCACTGGCCAAACCGAGCAAAAGAACCCTGACAGTCAACATCTCAGATGACGCACCAATGAGCGCTCGTATCTTGGGTTCATGGGAAGATTGGAGGAAAGAGTGGATTGGCACATCAAGAGACCTGTTGATCAGTGATCTCAAACCATACATGGTCCAATACTCGATGAAAGCGGAGATCAAAGACTACCTCACATGGAAACCATGGAAGGTAGTCCAAGCAATTCCATAAGGCTTTTTGGGTGGAGATATTCCTGCGGAACGAGCAGCGGTGGCGGCTTCGCTGGTAGAAGGACATGGAATTTTTGCAGACAAGGAGGAGCACCTGGCGCAGGTGTTGGGAATGCATGCTCGGGTGGTTAGAATCCACAACTCCGAACCCTTCGGAGCAACCCCAAACTAGACAAACAATACTAGGGGAGGTAGGGTTGATTCCATAGCAACCTTCCATGGCATCACCAAACCATATAACTCGGACCACTCAACCAAGCAGAGTCAGACACTTCACTCTCAGGCCGAGTGAGCCTGAGTTAACAGTGATGTCATGGAACATCAACGGACTAGCAACAGTCTTATCTAACAACGAAAAATGGGACAATATGACCAATTACCTCAACTGGTTCTCAAGGAATCGGACATAGTATGCATACAGGAAACACACCTAACAAACTCAATAGAACATCAAGCAGTAATCAACAAAATACAGGCTAAACTGAGACCAATCAACAAGAGATTGTTGTTTTTTTTTAAATTATTATTACCCTTGTAATGTCACATAAGTGTGACCCTACTATAAGGACAACTCACCACAGCACCTAACTTGTAAAGATGCGCCTAGCCAGGATAGACTTATCGGCCCTCGCGGGCCTCAACCTCTATCCGGTCGAGCCGTTGTCGGGACTGGTGGGTCCCGAATAACTTCCCATCACTCGAGAGGCTGAATATAAACAAATTGTGCACGACAGAGAAATCTGGAGTAAGGAGGAGAGAGAGAAAAAAGACAAAGGATTAGGCCGCAGGAGGGAGCAATGCCCTGGGTTGAGAACCACAGGAGGAGAGAGCCAGCGACGGCAAGCGAGTGAGTGCAAGAACACGAACACGTAAAACATAGCATGAGGCCGAGAGAGACGTTAGAATTCGACAAGACTAAGGCCAAAGGGCCCTTGAACCAGCAAACACGGCACAACGTCGATAAAAGAATGGGGAAGTCGAGAGACGGACGGCCCCGAAGGCCGTGGGAAACTAGAAAGCGAAGGGCCAACATGGGGGCCACCTACGAAGGCTCGGGGTGAAGGCCCGCGACCAAAGGAACCGGCGCGTGCAAGGCGCGAGAAAGAACAAGGGAGAAGGGTCACCGTGGGGCGGAAAACGCCCAAGGAGCGTGGGACACGTTGGGAAAAGGCACCCGGGGCCACGTGGGACTAAGCAAAAAAAATGGCGTCCAGGACAAAATGTGTCGGGGACCACCAGCGGGACTAAGTGTCGGGGACCACCGACGGAACTAAGTGTCTGGGACCACCGACGGAACCAAGTGTCGAGGACCACTGGTGGGACTAAGTGTCGGGGACCGCAGACGGGACGAGTGGCGGGAACATGTGAAAGTCCCAAGAAGAAATGGTGGCACCGCATAAGGAAAAATAATAAAGGCAAGGTGCACCGTCAAGATCGAGATCTTGACGGCCGAGAATATTAGCACCGGGAGGGTCGAGAAGAAAAGGAAAAGTAAAGAAACTTGAAGTGGGACGCATGGGAGCAATCCGAAAAATCTCGGATCAGCCTCCTTAAAAAAAATGGAGTCGAAAGAGACCACATGTGAAAAATAGGC